TCCTGTTCCTGAAAGATTATGCCTATTGAAATATCATCAAGAAAAAAGGTTTCCTGATGGCATCAGAGGGCCAACTTCTATTAGGAAGTTACTGACCAACCAGTTGCTAACAAAATTGCTTTTTTCATTCCTTCTCCTTTTGACTTCAGTGCTGTGTCAGCGTTCCAAAGCCAGGGAATGGGCACAATCATTACTGCCGTCTCTGACACCTGTGCCTAGAGGTCTGAACAAAGGTGATTCTCTGTAGCCAGGCAGCAGAGGTACAGCACCATGACTATCAGGAGGGAGCCAGTGTGAGGCAGAAAAGTCAGTGTGAGGCTTTTGAAAATTTAACCCTTAGTCCTTGTTAACTTTAACCTTGAAATATCCATTCATATAAACGCTCTCCTCTCTTCTTCCCCAGGTATGTAAGAAACTCCATTCTAGTCTCTATAGTGTTATACAGCCTCTATTAATAGGCTGGCTAACAAAATACTTGGATGATTTTCCTTCTGTTTTTGCAGATCTTCTCAATAAAAGATGATCCGGAGAGGATCCGGCATGAAGCTAACATTTTCTCCATCACATTTGCTGTTATAGGTGGTGTTTGCTTTATCACTTGGTTTTTGCAGGTAAACTCTCATAATCAATAAAACAATAGGTCAGAACAGCAGTTTGCATTCTAGTAACTGCTTTAATCAGCTATGGATTTAAAGTTGGTAGCTGAGGGATCATGGCATGATGGGATGGGGGAATGTCTGTCTGGTTCTCTACAGCTGTATTGTTCAGCTCTTGTTGATTTTTTTAATTTTACATTCACATCTCACCATTTTGTGCTATGCTTTTAATAAATGACTGCACTTGATGTATAAATAGCATCAGAATGCCATTTAAATTACAAGTAGTAAAAATCAAAGATATGAGGCACTACTGTATTTTTTTTTTTCTTGCAGGGATTCCTTTATGGGAGGTCGGGAGAAATCCTAACAATGAGATTAAGGCATATGGCATTTAAAGCCATGCTACGGCAGGTTAGTGTTAAATTTTTTCCTATAAATACACCATTTTCTCAATTGCCTTTCCTATAATAAATTGCAAATAGATTAATCCACCCTCTTTTACACAGCGCAAGTTTACTGCACCACCTTTCACATGGAGTTTTAGGTATTAATGATCTGTATACTTACTCTAGCCAAAGTAGGAGAAGAAATATGTTAATTCTAACCATGATTAACCACTATTATAACAAATTTCCTTGACCACTCTGAATAGAGATTTGTTTGACTGGAAATCATGTTAGAACCTCATTAGGAAAGTATGCTACATGCTACCAAGCTAAGACCTCATTTACAGGCTAAAGACAACCTCACCTAAAACGGTCATTAAATTTGGTTGAAGTTCAAGCTTGTTCTAACAACTGGGATAGGGTTTTGAGTGATTCTGTCCCATGCATGCAATCTGGGCTATACCATGTAAGAACAGAGTTGAGTGGCAACCAAGTTTAATTGAAGTTGTTAATCAGGTGTGTGTGTGTGTGTGTGTGTGTGTGTGTGTGTGTGTGTGTGTGTGTGTGTGTGTGTGTGTGTGTGTGTGTGTGTGTGTGTGTCGCCGTC